ATATATATATATATATACACATACAAAATAATAATCTAAAATAATAAAAATGACAGTAATATATAGTTAAAATGATCAATCATTAAAATGGAATAAATATATAAAATAAAAAAATTATTTATTGCCATCATATCTATACTCCATTGTTTTTCTCCACAGTCTCCTCTATAAGACTCACTTTGCATTGACTTGAATAAGACAGAATTTTTTTTTTTTTTCAGGATTTGGTAATAATAGGAGTTACACTTACAGTAGCATGTCCCTTTGAGGGGGTTGCCTTGGTAACGGCTCTCCACTTCACACCTTAAAAACAAAGGTGGAGAAAAGGTGAGCCGAAATGGGAGGTGGGTGGTTAGCATGGAATGAATGAAACAAAAGGAGAACAGAAAGGAGGGTTGATTTTTCTGTCTGCTGAATTAACATCACAATACTGGTGGACAGGGGAACAATGAACCCGAGAGGAAACGAACGGGAAACATTTTCCCGCAGAAACAGGACAAATACGGCCTCGTTTTCATACTGAATGCCATTCATCCAGTCATTATCTGGAGGTTTTAATGGGTTTCTCCAAAGTCCTATAATCATAAAGGCCAGACGGACAATAAAAGGCAGAAAATGATCAGAAGAATTCAGGACAGACTAAGGACTCTTTAAGGCTCATTAATATTTAGGTGGGATAGTTTAGATACTAAAATAATGTCATTCTAAAAGTAATACATGACTTTGAAGGAGTTCAGGAAAAAGCAGTAAGAATATTTCTCCTGGGAGGAGGAAGAGAAAATCTGCTGCTTTTTAAATGCTGAAGTATTTTTTTTAAAATCACATCTAATACTAATTATAACCAGGTAGTGCAGTGCCTGCCTTTTCTTAAAGACAGAAAAATTACTGAATTATTCAAAATACAATTTCACAAAAAAAGGCAAACTAAACTAGGTTTTCCCAGGAATAGGAATTTAATTTCTTTATACAATTATTTTTTTCTGCAAATCTACTTTTTATTCCACTTATCAGCCATTTAGTGTCTATAACAGAATCCCAATCGAACACATATGGATTGTTTTCATGAAAACCTCAAGGAGTCGGAATGAATACTTTGACAAATGTCACGTTAACTACAGAGCCTTGTGAAACTCAAATCCTGCTTCCTAAAACAAACACTGCACAGCGCAGAAAGGGTGTTCAAAAAAACACGACATCTATCAGACAGAAAAATATAAACATATAAAGGAAATATGATGCAGTAATATTGTGGTTTTAAGGTATAAAACGACATGAGAAGCAGAAAGTGAAACTCACATGTGGCACCGATCTCCTTTGATGCCTTTGGTGGTGCAGAAGCATTTCCCGTTGCTGGGGTTGCACATGCTGGCATGGCCGTTACACTTACATGCTGGAGGAAAAACAGGAAGAGTCATGATGAGAGCTCCATTTATTCTGAAATAACATTTACTAACGAAGAGTACGTCTGGTGTGTATTGGGAAACATTTCACTTCAATACTTCAAACACTCAAAATTCATTCTATGGGATAGATTTCAACAATGAGACAGATCTACAAATGCATTTTTCATTTTAACGGTAAAGCTAATTTTCTGTTTAGCTCTGTAGCTTTTTTGCTAACTTTGAAAACATTTAGCGCACGTAGCTTCCCCTAAATTCTTGGTTGCTAATTGCTTTAGCATTAGCAGAACCAATGTTTATGATTAGCGCTTTAGGGTTAATGCAACAAACTCTTCAGTTGGCAGAAGCTACCACTAGAGGAATTAAGGTCTGAAAATGAGTCTGTTTTTGCTCAGCCTCGACAAAGGGAGGGGAGAAAAAAGTAAACTATGGAAAATAAAACTCTTCTGGTTCAGTTAATCTGGCAGCTTTGGACAGCAACGCTTTAAGCTTTTCATTTATATTTAAGAGTGCTGTGTATTGTAGTTCAAGCGTGTATTGTTGTATAGTAAAATAGAATTGGAACCATGAAGGTGTGTGATGACCTTAAACACCCAACAAGTTATTTAAAAAAAGAAAAAAAATCTGTCAAAATCGGAATGAAAGATTGTGATCGGCCAGAAAACTGCAATCTGTGCAGTCCTAGTAAAGGAAAAATGGTGCATTTTAAGAGCCTAATGTACTGATTAAGTGTCACTGATGAGACCCTTGTGAATGTAGATCAAGTGGGAGACAGAAAGAGAATATACAGCATAGAGAGCAGCAGTGATATACCAGAAAGCGAAATTAAGCTGTCCAAACGCTAAACGATTGATTTATAGCCTGATTGAGTGACTGTTGGTATCGGCTGTGGAAGGAGTAACTCTTTAATATCCCAACAGGAGCCGCCAGGGCTCAGAGACGCAGCAGACGTAAAAATGAACAGTAAAAAAAGTGACATGTTGGACGAGGGAGCGTGCGGTGGAAAGCTGACGGGCCGATCTGGCGCAGACCTGAACGGGTACTTACGCTGGCAGCTGCCCCCGTTGGTCGGATCGCCGTAGAAACCGGAGATGCAGCTCTCGCAGTGTCGGCCGGTTGTCAGGTCTTCGCACTTTTCGCACACGCTCTCGTTGACACACTGACTGTGGCCATTACACTGACAGGCTAGCAGGGAGTAAACAAAGCGCGTACTGCATTAATGTCTCAGACACACACACAAGCCCTGGAGGAAAATAAATAAATACTTTTTTCTTTTAAAGGTTTAGCAATAAACAGCCCCGGGGCCAAACATGGACGGATCTGTACGCTCATTTGCAAACACAAACAACAATGTTTATGTGAGGGACTGAACAGGTATGGAGCCGTCTGTCAAAGCCGAGGCTCTCACACAGGAAAAGATCCAGGCATCGTTGTTCAGGTGACTTACAAAAGCATTCATACCCCTAAACTTTGACTAAGCCTGTCAACCAGAGGAGAGGTGGTCATGGCCCACATTCTTCAAGTTAAACTAAATGTTCTTGCAGCAAAAATGATTTATTTTTGATGCTATCATTTTAATTAATAATAATAATGGCAATGTGTTGGAAGAGGTCAACAAAGGTCAGCCACTCCACCCACACATACAAAATCAAATTAAACGTGTTAATCATATTTGGTTTGATTAACTAAATATTATTAGTTACACAAACAAAAAATATTGTTTGAGACATTATTTTTTTCCCAAAGTTTCCCTAGATCACCAGAGATCAAGCTGCTAATCTCTGGTCTCTAATCTAATTTTTAGAAATTGAAACATCTTA